TCTACTGGCACTGCCACCTGAGTGACTGACCAGGAGGGGCTGTCAGGTGCAAGCAGGAGGAGAGAAAATGGGAGGGGGTGGTCTGGGCCTGGCAGGGCTCTGACCCAGGCTGTTAGGGTGGCCTTTGCTGCTTCCAAATCTCTCTGGTTGGTGGCTAGGGTCAGGGCTGGTGAACACCTGGACCGGGGGAGTTCAGACAGCTTTGCCGTCTCACCCAGCGCCTTGGGTGACCCTGGCAAGGCCAAGGTAGCTGTGCATGTTCTTGCTGCCTCCACGCCTCCTCCAGATCCAGTGTACAGGTTGCTCACTGGACACAGCCCCAGGGCTCAGGGAAGAGACCAAGCCCATCCTGAAAGCCTGTCTTGCCCTGGTCCCATGGGGACTGTCCTGTGCACAGACACTTCGAGAGATCACAGACCAGGAGCACAACGTGGCCGCGTTGAAGCAAGCCATCAAGGACAAGGAGGTGCCTCTGAGGGTGGCTCAGACCCGCCTGTACCAGCGCTCGCACCGGCCCAACGTGGAGCTGTGCCGTGACACCGCCCAGTTCAGGTGCAGTCCTGGGGCAAGGCAGAACCCCCCAGGTGCCATCCACCCACCTCCAGGCCTCCCTCAGCCTCTGGGACCCCATGAACACCCCTCCCCTATGCACACAGACCCTCAGATGTGTTGAGGAGACACTGGGGCCTCACACTGGCACAGCTCACGCATGCAGGCATTTGCACGCCCCCACTCCCACCCAGCAAGGCTGGACACTGCTGAGGCCACAGGGGGCACTGTGTTGAGTGCCAGAGACAGTGGGGCACTTCCCACTTCACCCGGTGCTGTGCAATCTTCCCAGTGAGGAACCTCGGGGTCTAAGAGGATGAGTCCACCTCTGATGTCACAGTGGACCCTCGTCCTGGGCTGGAGCCATAGGTTGGGATGATGTCTTTTGTTTTTCTAGCTTACCGAGCTCCCAGGGAGAGGAGTGGGCACCTCACCCGCCTTGGCATTCCTCCTTCCCCGTTTCTTGATTTGTTCAGGAAACAGGGCTTCACTTGCCTCCAAGGGGTTCATCCATCCTGCTTCCAAACCCCGGGAACAGAAGAAAGCACGGGGAGCCTTAGGGCCTCTCATAGAGCCCTGGCCCCAGCCCACTCCCCAGCTCTGCTTGTGGGCTAACCTTTGGGACCTTTGATGTCCTTTTATAGCTGAGCATCTTGGCCAGGACCCCTCACCAGGGTTCCTAGCCTTTGAATCTTGGGCCTTGCCCCTCCCAGCCCAAAGGCCTGGTGTTCTGGTGACAGCCCAACTCATACCTCCTTCTGACAAATCCCCCAGGCTGGTGAGTGAAGTAGAGGAGCTGAACATGTCCCTCTCAGCACTGAGGGAGAAGCTTCTAGAAGCGGAGCAGTCACTGCGCAACTTGGAGGACACACGCATGAGCCTGGAGAAGGAAATCGCTGTCAAAACCAATAGCATCTTTATTGACCGCCAGAAGTGCATGACCCACCGGGCCCGCTACCCCACCATTCTCCAGCTGGCTGGCTACCAGTGACCAGTGCTGGCACCATGGCAGAGCAGCCCCACTGTCCTTGGCCAGACTGTCAAATAAAGAGCACATTAGCTTTCTACCTGTGGCATGGGGCTCAGAGTGGAGCCTTTGTGAAGTCAGTTCCTCATGCCCAGGGTGTCCTCAGTTACTTCCTGCGGAGAGGGGTCAGCAGAGGATGGTAGAGGCCCCACGTCATCACTCAAGCTGAGCATGTGAGGCCAGGCCCCTCCCCAGCTCAGAGCCATAGCCGAGGCACAGATGGTTTCTCTGCCCACCTGGGCCACCTGCAGGATGCTTCAGAGTAAGGGTCACCTCTCATCCCACGGAAGCCACACCACTCGTCACTGCAACAATAACCTGCTCTGTTTCTTCCACGGCCCTGGATGCTGTTGTGCCGAGGCCAGCCGGCTCTCCTCTCCCCTTATTGGGAGGTGAACCTGGAGCAGAGATGTCAGGACACACTGTTAGCCTGGCTCTTCCCTGAGGGATTGGCCCTGGGGGCTTTGGCATCCATGCAGTGCTTTAACACCCCTCGAGGACACAAGGCCAAGCCAGGCACCTCCTGGGAAAACCCATAGGACCTCCCTGCTACCCCACCTGGCACAGGGTGGGCACCTGGGGAGGCAGACCCTGAGCTGGAGGTGGGGAAGTCGAGGCCGTGGGGGGCCTCCATGCCCAGCCACCTTGGCCACCTTTGGGAGGCCAATCTCCTTGTCTAGCCCCATCCTTAGCCAGCTAGTGAGTCAGGTGGGGGTAGGGGTGCGAGGAAACTGCAGAGCCCCTGCTGCCTGCCTGACCCCACGTCACCCTATACCCTGTGTCCACGGCTGTGGGCAGAACTGCAGTCCTTGGGGAGGGCCACGTACCTTGTGGAGTGAGGCCCCCTTGCTGTGCCCACACTCCCCCGACCCCCGCTGTCCCCCCCGGCCCGGGCTGCTGTCTCTTCTCCAGCGGCAGCTCATAGTCAGGTCTCTTAGGGACACATCCATTAAGAGTCTGGGAGATAATAACTCCCGCTGTGCAAACTCCTCCCACTCAGGCCCCCATTATCACCCCATGGCTAAGGCAGTGTCCCCATCAGCGCCGAGGGTCTTCTTTTCCAGGCCTCCTGGATGGAGCGTGGCAGCTGATGGAAGCTAAGGGAGGGGGGTTGTGGGAAGCTCATTATCTCTAAAGCTTGGCAGTGACCCCAGGCGGGGGGAGCGGCAGGCACAGTCCCGGGGGGCTGCCTGGCTGGGCTTCATTGTCTGTAGTTCTCTGATGGCCATCTGTGAAGCTGGAAATTTTGTCACTCTATAGAGACCAATGACCAGGCCCTGGAGCTGAGCCATGACTGCAGGCCACACACTGAATTTCCAAGGCTCTCTGTGGGGCTTGGGGTGGGGACAGACAGCGATGTCTACCCCAGGCTGGCCAGTTGCCTCCAGCATGGATTCAGACCCTGCAGACCCTCTGTGGGCAGTTGACCCCATGGGGCCACAATACTCAGCCACCTTCCTGTTGTCATGGAGATGCCAGGCAGCCTGTCCAAGCGATGGCTATTTCTGTGCAGGAGCCTGGTCGTCTTGCCACCCTCTGAGTCACCTTTGGTACTTGCTGACTCCCTCTGCTATGAGCCTGGCCTGCCTGCCTTCTGCAGCAGACACCCCAGCCCAGGTCCCAGAGGCAGACCCACCCCCCACATGCAGGGCACATTTAACTCACCATCCCCTCCCCCAAGGGAACTCACAGGAAACACCCCTCTCTGTTTTAGGGGCTCCTCTGCCTGTTGGAGTCAGGGAGCTGGCAGCGGGAGGCACTGGGAGGGGCATCAGCTCCACAGCGTGGTGGAGCCTCAGGCATCCCCAGCTGGCTGTGCCTCTTCACCCATGTCCATCTAGGACACACTGGCTGCTTCTGAGCCCATCAATCCCCACTTACAGGTGGGGAAGCCGAGGCTCAGATGCAGGGAGCAACAGAGCTCCGGCGTCTGCCTTTCTCGGGGAGCCTCAGAGGCAATAATTGGGTGGGCAGAGAAGAGCCCCCAGCCTGCCCGGGGCCCATTGGCTCCACAGGGACGTGGTGGTGAGAGGCAGGGACCTAGGCCACTCACTGCCCTGAGCGCGGCTGGCTAAGCTGCCTCCAGTCTCAGAGCCAAACCCCAAGGCACGGGGACTGCAGGAGCTGCAGGGGGGCGAGTCATCACTCAGGGCCTCGATCTTCACATCCCCTGTCTGTGCCATCCTCCAGGTGAAGATAGCTGTCCCCAAAGGGAGGCCCTGGGCCTGCTGGGGTGAGCTGTCATCTCCTTGGGGGTGGGGTCAGTCTGGGAACCAGCTCTAGCTGGTGTAGCCCCCACCCACAGCCCTCATCAGCCACACTCACCCTCATCCTGGCACAAGAAGCCCCCTACAAGTGGGGCCACCGCAGCCTCCCCCTCTCCTCCCATCCTTGCTTCTCCCTGGTCATCAGTGAGGGGGGTTGGGGTGGGGAAACTGGAACAGCAGAAATGGGTGAGCCGGCCTGGGCTGCCCACAGCCGGCCTGTTTCCCAGGCCAGGGCTGGTGCCTCTCCCATAGGTGGCCTGGTTTGGTGTGTGTGGGGTACATGTCCCAGGAATTGCATGTCCCCATGTTCAGAGACCAAGGTGCAGGGTTCTACCACTGGGCCCAGAGTCCAGCTGTCCAGACTCAAAGCAGGGACAAGGCCAGGCCCTGGTGTGGGCTTAGCTTTAGGCTTACAGTGGGTGTGCGAGCCCCTGCCTGCCACTGCCTGGGGGGCTCTGTGAGTCATTTCCACTGGTGGGCATAACAGGGATACGAGCCTTATCCACTTAAAGGCTAGGCTGATGCCGAGAGCCCTGCCCCCCGAACAGGATGTCACAGTAAGCTTCTCGCTCTGTTGGGCACCCTGACCCGGGTGCAGGGGAGGCCGGGACAGACACCATGGGTCTGGGCAGACGCTGCTCTCCTGGGCTCCATCAACCAGCCCCAGCCCTCACTTCCTAGCCAGAAACAGAAGGTTGTCACCATTACCAGGTGGGCCCCGGAGTGCCCCACCCCACTTTGGCCCCCAGCCCTCTGACCAGAATCCTCCCAACTGCAGCTCCAGCCTCCCCAACTCTCCCATAAGTCACTGCACCCCAGATGGAAGAGGCAGCCAGCCTGCAGCACCATCCCCCAACTCACACCTGCCCCAGACGCCTCAGCCCCCAGACCCACACCAGGGCACCGGGCTGGGAGGAGGGCCCTGGAGCCCCTGTGACAAGGGGCTTTGGCAGGTAGCCAGCTGGTGGAGGGCAGACTAATGGCAGGCGGCAGGGCCCTGTGAGCCTCCTGCAGAGAGCTCTGAAGCTGGCCCAAGGCCTGTTGGTCTTGGATGGCCCAGGGGAAGCCGTGGGCGCCTGGGGCAGGCATGAAAGGGCTCTTTCACAAGCTGCTGGGGCAGTGACGCTGGAGACAGCCAGACAGGCAGCAGCACCGACTGTGAAATGGTAACAGGGAGCATGTGGGGGGTATTCACAGCCCCCCTGGGTAGGCTGGGCTTGCAGGGGTCTGTGCTCCCCACTAGACCCCAGCAAGGAGGCTGCAGCCCAGACTGTTTCTGGGCAGGCCGGGTGGCTGGGATGCCTAGGACCCCAGACTACCAGAGGGTTGAGGTGGGGGCTGCAGCAACACAGGCCTGCCTATGGGGTGAGGTTCCCTGGAGATACCCGCTCCTGTCTGTCCCTTCATGAGAGGGATCCAGGAGGGTCTTGCAGGGTCCAGGGAGGCTGGGAGAACTGGTCAGAGTCTTCTGGGTTCCAGGGGTGGAGGGTGTGGGTGGAGAGAAGGGGTCCCATTTTCCAGTAAGCTAAGTCTGAAAGTGGGTCTCGAACTCACCATGCAAGAGGAATAACCTTGCACCGGACTGTAGTTCCAGAGGGCTCCCTGGAGGAGGGTGCCTGGGTCTTTGCTCAGCAAGGTTGGGCTCCAGGGAGGAGTAAGGACCCTTACCTGACATGCCTGCCTTTGGCTGAGCCTCCCAGATGCAGCCCCTGGGGAGACCAGGTCTATTGAGCCAGGAAGTGGTGCCTTACCTGGCTGGATAGGCCAGGTGTCAGTCAGGGTGCTCTAGGGAAGGGTGTGAGGAGGCAGGAAGCCCAGGACTGGTGGGGGTTAAAGACCATCTTTGCCACAGGGTGGGGGGCCACATGGGGTAGCCTCCCAAGTAGCCCTCCCTCTCTCCCCTGGGAGCTTAAGACTAGGGTGCTGCTCTCTGCCCAGCTAGGCAGCAGACAGAAACTCCTCACGTAGGCCCCACCAACCTGGAACCCAGGCCCAGCCTCAGGGATTGGGGAACTGCCCTTTCTTAAAGCTGCCCCTCCCCGCAGTTCTGCCCAACGCAGGAGGGTGGGGGCTTTGGAGGGCCGATTCAGAGCCCCACCTCTGCCATGCCAGCTCCCGTGGCATCTGCCAGGTGCAGGGGCCCCAGCCATGGGGGTTTTGAGGACCAGGACTCCCCGACTGCAAGCAGTTAGGGTGCCTGCTGCAGCCTAGAGTTAAGGCCCTGGGGGGCATGGAGGCCTACAGAGGGAGCAGCCCTTGAGAAGAAGCCTGGAAATACCAGCTCAGACTGGGCGGGCCTGGCTGGGCCACATTGCTAGGGGCCCTGGAAGGGCAGGTGTGAGTTGTCGCCTGTGCAGGCCCCTCATATTGGTGGTGGCCCTGGTGGTGCTGTGTTGAGGAGGTTTCTGAGGCTGCATCCATGTCTGGGTGAAAGAATGTGGGGATCCAATAGTGACGTCTGTCAGGGCTTGGGGGGTGGGGGCACTAAGAATCTGAGAAGGGCATGCCAGGCCTCTGTTTGGCGCAAGACGAGGCTCTGGCCCTGCCCACTGTGGGTCCCCAACTGGGTACCCCACACAGGTCCCATCTGTTGGCTCCCCAGACAAGGGTCTGGGGGCTCAGCTGGCATCTCCTTCTCAGATGCCCTCCCCTCCCTTCTCCCAGGCTCTGGCCCAGATGGCAGCACCTGCCCTCCTGCTCCTCCTGGCGCTACCTGCAGGGGCCTGGCCCAGCCTGGGGCTGCCCCAACGGCCATGTGTGCACTGCTGCCGCCCTGCCTGGCCTCGAGCTGCTCCAGGCTCATACACTCCTGAGAGTGACAGGGAGAAGTGGCTGCAGGTGCCCCACGTGCGGCCCACCATAGACATCTCAATCCTCAAAGGTGAGTGTTACCAAGAGGTGGCCTCATCCTGTTCCCTGCCCCCACAGGGACACCCACACTGAGGGGCATAGGAAAGAAGGGGCAGGAGAGCAGGGCAAAGCTCTGAGGCCCTGATTTAGCAGAGTGGTTCTGGGAAGACACCTGGGACCCAGATGGGACACAGTGAGCGGCGGCTCTTTGCTTCTGACAACCTTGTAAAGGCCATCAACCCCCCAGCCACCCCCTCAAGCGGGAAGCAAGGTGGCCTGGAGAGAAGGCTGTGAAGAGAGGAGGACCTGAGGTTCACTTCAATTTGCTCACCCACCCTGGGCCGGCCCTGCCAGTCCCAGCACCCAGGGGAGGACTGGGTCCCCCTTGGGAGGAGGCAAGAGAGGTGGAGCCGAAGGGAGGAACACCCTGGGCTGGACAGCAGACCTCAAGAGGGCTGGACTCGGGTATCAAATTCCCAACCTTCTTGCCTTTCAAAGGCCAGTTCAGACCCTTCTTTTGGTAACTGCCTGAACCCCTGTCATTTCCATTGTCTCACTGTCGTTCTCAGTCCCACTGTCCCCACTTGATAACCTGTACAGGTCCCAGAATAGCCACAGCTTTGAGGTGTGGCTTCTCATTGCCCTGTGTGAGGGGTGGGTTGGCACCTATCTTACAGATGAGGAGACTGAGGCCCAGGGAAGTGAGGTCATCCCCAAGGCCGCATGGCCAGCAAATGGATCCCGGGCCTTGACTGGAGGCTTCTGCTCACTCTCCTGCAGGCGAGAAGGGTGACACAGGAGTCAGAGGTCACTCCGGTAGGAGCGGGAAGGAGGGCCCACCAGGCTCCCCAGGCATCCAGGGCCACAAGGGCCAGAAGGGGCAGGCGGGGCCGCCGGGCACCCCATGCCAGCGAGCCTATGCGGCCTTCTCTGTGGGCCGGCGCCAGGGGCTGCACAGCACAGGTGCCTTCCGGGCTGTGCCCTTTGACACGGAGCTGGTGAACCTGGATGGCGCCTTCGACCTGGCATCTGGCCACTTTCTCTGCGCCGTGCCTGGGGTGTACTTCCTGAGCCTCACTGTGCACACCTGGAATTACAAGGAGACCTACCTGCACGTCATGCACAACCAGCAGGCCACGGCCGTGCTGTACGCGCAGCCCAGCGAGCGCAGTGTCATGCAGGCCCAGAGCCTGCTGCTGTCGCTAGCAGCAGGTGACACCGTCTGGGTGCGCATGTTCAAGCGTGACCAAGACAATGCCATCTACGGTGAGCACGGGGACCTCTACATCACCTTCAGCGGCCACCTGGTCAAGCCTGCCACTGAGCTCTAGCTGCCACCACCAGCCCTTGATGGCACTCGCTCCCCGGACACCCCGAGCCTGACCTCTCCCTCACAGCTGAGTGATGCCAGTAGTGTCTGAGTGACGCCTGTGCAGTGATTGAACGCCAATTGCATGCAGACACTGAGCTGAGGGGTGTGGCAGGAGCAAGACAGACTCTGGGGGCCTGGCATGGTGGGGATGGGTACAGATCAAGTGTTCACACTAAAAACTTCGAGACGGAGACCGTGGGAGTGGGCGTGGGCATGCAGCAGAGTGGGCAGGGCATCCCTACATGTTATGGAGTTTGCCTCCTGGTCAAGCGATGTTTTGCTTATAAAGGGCTGTGCCAGCACCACGGCCTTGGAGACATTTACAAAGCACCTACTGGGTGCTGGGCTGGACACTGGGGAGTCCGGGGATCAAATGCAGATGCTAGCCCTCTCAGAGCTGGTTCTAGCAGGAAACATGCTAAATTCCATTGGTGTTAGAGGGTGGAAAATGGGGTGGGAGTGAGAGTCATGCCCTCAGGTGAACACACAGTCCAGCTCTGATTGGCTGACTTTTGGGGGCTCCCGGCATCCCTTCGTTTGTCTGGAATGAACTGGCTGGCGGAGGAAGAACATAACTTGATGGGTACCAGAGCCTGCAGGAGTCCCACACCTCACACTCAGATGTGGCTGAAGTTGGGGACTGGTGGTGATGGAGCAGTCACACCCCACTCCCTGCAGGCATGGAGGTCCACAGGAGGCCTCCAGCCACCCCACAGGTTGGAGCCATCAGGCTGACCCACTCTAAAGTCCCCTCTGATTCTATTTCTTTCCTGCCATGTGTTTTCTGGCCACTCAGAACCTTTTGCCCAGCTCCTCTGACCCCATCATTGCAGCCTCCTCCATGGGGCCTTCCCTGGCATCTCCTCCTGTGGCTGCTCCCTCATGGGCAAGGATTCTGGGGCAATGAGGCCTTTGGGGTCCTGGCAAGAGCAGCATCTGGAATCACCAGAGCCTGGTGAGCTGACTGAGGTCCTGAGCTAGGTGGAGGTGGCTGGAGGTGCAGGCTGGCCAGCTGAGCAGGAGGTGCCAGAGCCCTCATAGAAGGATCCAGGGGTCACCAGCTGTGGTAGGAGGTGGCTGCTGAGGGCCCCAAGGATGCACCAGGAGCAGCAGGCTGCCTGCCAGGTGGCCTGGGGCCTCTTGGGTGCAGGACAGGCATAGGCCTCCCTCAGCCGTCATCCACCTTCGGGGCTCAGGGCCCACAGAGGGCCAGGCCTGGCTGTTCCCCCTCTCCCTCCACCCTTCCCATGAGGACCCCAACCCATCATGAGATGAACCCCACATCCATCTGGCCCTGGGGCTGGGGAACCTTCTCAAGACAATGATCAGCTGATGAGGGGGAGGAAAGAAGAGGGTGGGGACCTGCTCATCCATTTGACGAACAGGCACCTCCAGTCCCTGCTCTGGGGGAGGGGACGTAGTGGGAACGTGGTGGCCCTCCCCTGCTACCACGGAGCTGTTATCCCACAGGAACCTCCCCACCCACTGGTGGGCAGAGAGCAGAAGGAGGAAACCTGGTCACAAAGGCCTAGACTAGTGGAGAAATGGAGGCTGGCAGGGGTCTGCAGAACCCCCAAGTGTGTGTGGCTCTGGGAGCTGGCGCTCCATCGGCTGGACAGTCCCCCAAGTGTGGCCTGGACAGAGGATGAGTGGGAGGAGGGAGTCTCCTTTGCTATCCATACAAGGCCTGTCTGAAAGTGGAGGGGCTCCACCAGCTGCCTCCCTGAAGCCCAGGCCTGCAGCCTCCTGAGCAGGGGGCCCATCTCAGCGCCATGGGTCCTGTCCCAAGTGTGTCTACTGCTGGCCTGTGCTAGGCCTGGCCCATGAGGGCTGTGGGGGTCTGACCTTAGGGGCTGCCATCTCAGGCAACACTGGGTGAAGAGGGCAAGGGCTTCTGGGCTTTCCCAGGCAGCCACTCTATCTGAAACCCTCATGCCCCACATTCAGGTCCTGCAGCTCCACAAGGAAGCAGACCCAGGTGGGGCGGTGACCTCAAACCCCCAGCCAGCCCAGGCTCCCTCGCTGGGTCCTGGGTTCAGACAAAACAAGACCCTTCCCTGAAAAAGCACAAATAAGGGGGTCAGGACAGACAAATGCCTGTGCCCTGAGACCCAGCACCTCAGGGGGCTCAAAGGGGACTCCTGACCTGCAAACCCGAACGCTGAACCAGGCCCCACCACAGTACATGGCAGGCAACAGCAAAACTGGGGGGGCTTCTTATAGCCAAGGACGAGGGGCAGAATGTCACAGGCTGATGAAGCCATGGTCCCGCTAGAGAAAGGAGGGGGCTGAGAGGGGGCCCTGGGACACTGAGTCTGGCCAAGCCTCAGGCTGAACTTTGGCCTCTTGGTCTGTGTCCTTTTATGGCTGGAATAGCCGGAAACGCCCAGGGCGCTTGGCAACCTGTGGGCGCATCAGGAGCAAGTGCCAGTGGGGAACAAAGTGGCAAAGAAGGTTCTGCTGTAGAGATAAATGTGCCTGAACAGAAATGGGGGGCCTGTGGGGGATTGGAAGGACTACAGCTTCCCTCAGTCCTCCTCGATCCTGGACTCCCCTCCCGTCCTGACCAGGACCCCCAGACCCCCTCTGTGTTGTGGGCCAGCCTGGCCAGGAGGGGCCAGGAGGGAAGCCCCTGTCTGCCAGCTGCAAGCAAAGCCTGTGTTCTTTCCAGCCAGCCTGCTGCTGAGGGCCTCTGTCAGGGCCCCAGAGCAGCAGAGGTGGGGTTGCGAGAGCAGGGCTGGGAGTGGCTGCACTGGGCAGGGGAAGTCTGCAGACCTGGCAGCAGCTCTATCTCCTTTTAACCTCATGGTGTGAATCCAGCTGTTAGAGCAGCCCCGACAGGTAGGCACTGGGGCATTGGGGCCAAGCTTCGAGGGACAGGCCCTGCAACCTTCTCCTCAGAGATGGGATCCTGTCTGGGAGCCAATTTATCCATATTAGTTTTATCCATTTAGTGGAATTCCAATAAAACATCCATTTTTAAAATTTTGGTGAAGTTCATATAACAAAATTTACCATTTTAAAGCTAACAATTTAAAGGCATTTTGCACTTTCACAGTGCTGTGCAACCGACACCTCAATCTATGTCTAGAATATTCTCATGGTCCCTAAAGAAACCAGGGACCCCATTAGCAGTCACTCCATGACCCCTCCTCCAGCCCCTGCCTGTGTACGTAAATGCCAAGGAAGAGATCCTCTGAGAAAGGGCCTCCCCTCTTCTCCAAAGCAAGGGTCAGGGGAGAGAGGTTGGCTCAGGTGGAGCGTTTGACCCCCAAACTTTGGGACCCACCCAGGTGTCCAAACGGTGCCCTCAGACCTGGATCAGCGAAAATCTGGCAAATGCATAGCTGCCACCTCCTCTCCAGATACATAGTCTGAAGGAGAGGGGAGATTGTGGGCCTGGCACAGGGAGGAGCAAGGTGTCTGAAGGGACATGAGTGCCCCAGGACATGGAGGGACAGGGAGGGGCAGCCCCCTCAGGCTCCTGGGCAGCCCAGGACCTTCAAGGTAAGGTCCCACCTGGGCAGAGCCTCCATCATTCAATGTCACTCAGTTATTCATTCAACAAATACCCTTCAGAGCTGTGGTAGCTGGACCAGCCCTCAGGAGGCAGTCTATACAGGGCAGGACAGTGCCCTTGGGCTCGATGGGGAGGAGGCGACAGAGTTTGGAGGAGGGGTAGAGGGTCATGGATCCAGCTGTCTCTCCAGGTTTTCATCACCATGAAGCCCTGAGATCCATGGTTCTGCAGGAGCCCAGAGACGTGACCAGGGAAGATCCTGTTCTCAATACCATCCAGTGGCTCTGGCACCCCCAAAGGACATTACAGACCTGTGACCCCGGGTTCCTGTGCTAAGTCCTTCCCGATATCTCCCCTTCCTCCTCTTACTGTCCTGCCCCAGGATACCTGAAGGGTGGTCCTTCCTGGCCCCTTCTCAGGACCCTACCCAGGGCACCCCAACATAGCTCCAGCTGATAGGGGTTGGGCTGGGAGCGCAGCCTCCATGGACCACAGGGCAGATTGACCTTGGTTTCCCTCCTTGTGGAGATACAGCACCTGCTCTGCCCGTGGGGGCTGTGCTGCGATTACACCACACTCCCACCCTGTGCCCAGCCCTGCCAGGCAAACAGACTCCTCCTGCCTCTGCGCCCCATCCCAGAGGCAGCCTCACCCTGCCCCCCGGGGGCCGGATTTCCTGAGCAAGGTCCTTGTGGAAGCTACTGGAGCCCATTGGCCAATAAAACCCATCGATGCAGAGAGAGAGCCCATAAAACAGGTCACCCTCCCCAGAGGGTATGTGCTCTATGCCACCCCCACCCCACTCAGGGCTGGGACCAGGACCTGCAAGCAATGTGGTGGCTCTGTGGCCCCCACAGCTGTCCCTGGCCTGTGCTGGGTGTGGGAGGGAAGCGGCCAGGCCAGGCTGCATCCCCAGGCCCATTGTGCCAGGTCCACTGGCTCCCAGGGCTCAGGCTCCTCCTGGGATACTCCTGCTCTGCCCCTGACAGGCCCTGGGGGAAGGTTCACATTCCCTCCTGCTCAGTGGCCCACCTTCGCCTGGGCATCAGGGACTATCCACACTAGCCAAGCCTCTTCTCAGCTCCCACCACACCTGGGTTCCACAGGCTGCCCAGAATCCCCTGGAACATCTCACAGGCCCCTCCACCCACTGGGTCCATCAGGCCCCAAGCACACGCACACATATACACGTGCACACACACATACAGGCACACATGCACACATTCACATCCCTCAGGCAGAAACACATCAGGGTGCTGCTGGCATCTGTACACCCACATGGATGCTCTCAGCTGCCATGGCCTTGGGGAGGGAGCTCGCACAGTTGAATCAATTGGGAGAAATTGATCTGGGGAAGATTTCCGAGCCATCTGCTCACTCGCAAAGTCATTCTGAAGGGATGCACTTTGCATCAAGAGCCAAGGGAGGTCTGATCGTGGGGTGGGGGTGGCAGGTTGGACCGGCCTCAGTTTCTCCCAAGCCACCCACCCTTCCCCAGGATGCTGGTCCCTAGGGCAGGTGAGGGTGGGTTGGGCCACCAGCTCCCAGGGACTCTAATCTCAGGCT